TCCCAGCGTGATGCTCTCCTGCTGGGCTGTATGTATAATTGGGCCTTTCTGTTAATACAAGTTCTGTTAATTGCAACTGTACTCATTATGTTCACTGCCACCACACCACATTGCACCCACCCATACTTATATTGATTTGTTTGGGAGATTAACCGTTTTCCCGTCACCCTATAGCAATTATACTGCTACAGGGCAGCAGGGGTGCGCAAAATCACGTATATACATGATTTTGCATTTCCAGGTAGGGAGCATGCGCGAGCTGTTGTTGGTCATATTTTTTTTTTTTAGCAAAGACATGTAGCAGAATACATTTTGTCCTAAATTTATGACGAAATTAGATTTTTTTAATTTTTGTACTGGACATGTTTAATAGCAAAAAGTCAAAAAATATTGTTTTTTTTTTTCTTTTCTCAAAATTGTCAGTGTTTTTTTGTTTATAACGCAAAAAATAAAAACGCACAGGTGATCAAATACCACTGAAAGAAAGATCAATTCATGGAAAAAAAGGACATAAATTTAAATTGGGTGCAGCGTTGCATGACCGCGCAATTGTCAGTTAAAGTAACGCAGCGCCGTAATGTAAAAAATGGCCAGGTCAGGAAAGCGGTAAATCCTCTGGAAGGCAAGTGGTTAACGACATTGTTTAGTACCACTTAAATTTGGGATCAATAACAAGGTAGACACTTTCAGTCTCATCATAAGAAACATACTGTAGCTTTATATGTGCATGGTCATGGATATCTGCAATTTGACTTCAAACACCGTGCCTAATGCTGGGAACAGAAGAAAACTGGCTACAAAGGAGATGCCAGGAAATTTTCTATGAAATTGTGCATATGTTGTATGAGAAAGATTTAGTTGAACAATTTAGGCAAATCATCTCTAGCAGAAGGATAATTCTTAACTACCGCAAATTGCGAAATAGCATGTTACACTTTTTATTTATTTTTTATCAATTATTTTTTAAATTATGAATTTATGTACCTCCATGGAATGAATACTAGAGTTATGCACACAGATATACATAATATTATTACTGTATCTTCCATTTACTAACAAGCAGTATGCAGGCAATAGGTTAGACATTTGGTAGTTGTCACAACACCTTTGGATAGTCACAACCGTCTGTTGGTTCTACAGCATTGTCTGTAGGTGATATACAAATGCCTGCAGGTTATATGATGCTGCCTGCGAGGCATACAAAAATATGTAGGTTGTGCGCAGAAATGTGAAGAATTAAAGAAATGGGCAGGTTATACTGCAAAATCTATAAATAATTGTCTGTATTCATACATTTATGGTATAGAGAGCTGGCTGCGAGAGTTATGTACGGTGGAAATGATAACACCATACATATTTTAGTGTTAACTTACACCCTGGAGGTCCTTCACACTTTGATTTCTGCTCACGCAGAATTTGTTTTTTACTATTGCTGCTGTACTAAAATAGCTAATGGCTTAGTCAATATCATATTAATACATCAATAAATGTAGGTTATATACAGGTCCCAGTAAGGTACAAGTTACAATTATAACTAACAAAAGACTATGTTTAAAGAAAATCTGTCTCAAATCTGGGCAATTCAGCCTCTACACTTCGGGGGGGGGGGGGGGGGAAAGCCAAGCAGTTTGCTTGCCTTAACACCCTCCTGCCCAGCCCGTGTCCCTTTAATAGAGGGTCAGTACACTCAGAGGGGATCAGCAATCACATGACCACTGTGATTGGGTGCTACAGTAATTACAGTCATAATTGGAAGCCTGTCCCGACAGCTCAGTCTCCGTGCTGGGTGCGTGCAGTGAGCACGCTGTTAGCACAAAAATATTGGCCGCGTAAGGCGTAAGACTTGGTTCACATATGTGCAGGCGGATCCACACGAAAAACCGCCCGCACAGAGGAATGCGGACCTGCGGGCAGGTGCCTTTAGTTATAATGGCACGCCGCCCGCAATGGAAAACACAACCGTACTGGGAACCGAGGTTACCGTGTGGGCTGCGTTTTCAAAAGAAGTGCAGGGACTTCTTCCCTGTGTGTCATTGGACACGGGAGTCCATTCAAATGAATGGGCTCTTGTGCCCTTGCAAAACGCGGCCCGCACGGCCGCATATATGTGAAACAGGGGTAAAGAGGGAATGTCACCAGCACACCAAGGATTACCAATATAGGTCCAAAAGTGACCGGAACCAGGGGCGGACTGACCATTTGGAAATTCGGGCACTGCCCGAGGGCCCGGAGTCAGTAGGGGGCCCTATGAGATTCCCCTGGTACCTTTTTCATAGGCTTTTTTGAGTTTGGGCAAGGACACAGGGGCCCCATGATCCCCTATTGCCCGGGGACCCCATGAGTTGTCAGACCGACCCTGACCAGAACCTACTTACACTACTTGTTTCAAACTAACAGAAGTGGGGAGAAGAAAAGAAAAGGTTCAGGAGCTCACAGAGGATTTTACAAGAAGGCAGAAAAACACAGTAAGAAACAATATAATTACAAATAGATTATAAGGCCATTAAGTAGTGGATGTGTGTAGGGAGGTGCAGTCTACTTTTCCCACTATGGATGACACTCGACCAGGGGCAGACTGACCATTTGGAAACTCGGGCACTGCCCGAGGGTCCGGGTTCAGTAAGGGGCCCCATGAGATGCCTCTGGTACCTTTTTCATAGGCTTTTTTGAGTTTGGGCAAGGACACAGGGGACCCATGATCCCTATTGCCCGGGGGCCCCATAGGTTGTCAGTCTACAGTGCACTCGACCGGAGCAGTGCTACTATTGAAGACAAGGTCAGGAGCAACCTAGTTTCCTGATCCCCTGAGGCAGCATTCCGCTAGGCTATGTTACTTTCAGGTGATCCTAGCAGCCATCTTGGGCCAGCAGTGCCTTATTTAGTGCCTGTCCTGAGGTTTTGGCGTACTTTTTGGGAAGTGGGCAGTGTAGGGAAACAGTACCCGTCTGCCAGAGAAAGTTAGTTACAGCAAGGCAACATTTCGGAGTCTCGTAGGACCCCGTCATCAGGCATGTGATGAAAGGGTCCTGCAGGACTCCGAAACGTTGTCCTGCTGTAACTATGTGATCGTTCATTAAAACTCTTGGACCCATATTGGTGTTAAGTGGAGTGATAGAGAGATGGAAGGAATGTAGGTATATGCTGCCAGGGAAGACTTTATAAAAGAAAATAGGTGTGTGCTGCTAGGGAGGGCTAAGTTAAAGTGAACCTGTTGTTTCACCTGCATTGGCAATTTGCAGGTTCACTTGTGTAAACAAGAGCTTTCTCAATACCGGGCAGAGCAACTGGTTCACTTTAATGTAGGGATATTTAAAGCAACCATCAGGAAAAAGAAAATGCCAAATAAAGTGACATGAAGATCAGCAGGAGAAACACTAGTTGCAGCAAGGAACCAAGGAGATCACCTAAGCATTGGTTTCTTCACAATTTTCAGAAGAAGATTCCTCTTGACTGGAGCAGCATTTGGCGGCATGGGCAGTTGGAAAGGTAAGTATTTGCCATCCTTCTTTGCAGTATTTTGGGTGCTTTTTTTCCCTAAAAAGGTTAATTTAAGTGAATTTACTTATCTTCCATTCATTCCTCCGCTGCTCTATCTGCAACCAGAGCATTGGGAAATAGTCTGTACCTCTTTGGGTGGGGAGCATGAGCCTTGCCTTGACTCCAAATGCTGCTATAAACTGATCCCTGAGCAGCCAATTACTAGCCCCACACGCACTGTAATGTGAATGTGGGAGCAGCAAACACACTTTCTGCTCTGCATGTTCAAATGTGTTGTACATGAGAATCTTGCCTGTTGGCAAATCAAGGGAACATAAGTAAATGTTCTTAAATCAATTAGGTAAATCTGTTGCTTTGTTCATTGTGGGTATAGTATAGGTTCACTTAAAGTAGCAACCATACATCAATATGAAAATTCAGCAGTTGAAGGTGAACGCAGATCTTGACTTTTCTTGTAGACGTTGAGATTATTTTTCATCATACTGTATGCCAAGGTTTGAGATCAGTTTACTTGAACAAATTATTCTTTATATAACAGTCTGCAGAATAATACAAAGACAACATGAAAAGAGAATTGTATCTCCTTTGATCCCAGATGTTCTAGTGTAGGCAAGCAGCTGGAATGTGATTGATTCTACTTAGGAAGACTTTTATTTGTTTTTAATAGGAGTATGTAGAGTACACAGTAATGTTTTTCTACACTGTGACCAGGACTGGATCATCATCTGGGAACACATCTCAGAAAGCAGCTGGGAATGCACCAAACTCTGTATTGGAAAAACACAAGAAAAAAAATGAATTGTCAGGGTCCAGACTTAAACCTATGTTGCCTGGCTAAAGCTCTTCTACCTGTGCAACCTGAGATTCTCAGCATCCTGTCTGATCCCTTGGACAGTCTTGCCTTGCTTCTTGTTTCTGGTGAACCTAGAACTCTTTGCTCCTCCCATGAACTTCCAAGTTTAAGACATGTCTCTGCACTTTACCAGATTATTGTGCTCTCTCCAGTCGAAGTCTTGCTACTTTACGCACCTACAGATACCCTTATCTTCACTACCATTTGTTACCAATCTTTGGCATATTCCTTGACTATGTTTCTGCTCAATCATAACCTGCAACTATTCATTATTAACCTTTGGCTTTTTCCTCAACTATACTTTCACTTGATCCCAACCTGCAACCTATTATTACAGACCTTCTGTCAGGAGCCAACTGGCAGTAGCCTCTAGCAGCCCACAGACCGGAATTCCTCAGGGCGCGGAATCTAAGCCCCAGCCTGCTGTTTCACCAGAGCCCCTGATGGTGGGGATGGACTTGGAGCAGTCTGAGACCAGGTCGCGGCCCCCCGAGTAAAACCAGCTGCGTTAGAGGTAGTTGCTAGTGGCAAGTAACAGGTGAGAGCCTGATGTGAAGAGGCGGACTGCAGCGTAGTCAGACAGGCCAGGTCAGTAACAACGGAGGCAGACGGTACAGAGCGGCAGGCAAAAGCATCAACGGGTCACAGGCCAGGTTCAGCAATAGGAGGTCAGGTAAACAGGAGAAGACAGAAGAATGGTCAAGACAAGCCAGGGGTCAGGTGTCAGGGCAGGGGCCGAGGAACGGACAGGCAGGCCTAACAATGTAACGCACTGGCTGACGACAACCACCACCCACAGACCGAAGTCCCTCAGGGCGCGGAGTCTAAGTCCCAGGCTGCCCTTCACCAGGGCCCCTGATGGTGGGGATGGACTTGACGCAGCCAGGAACCAGGTCGCGGCCCCTGAGACACCTCAGCTGCGGTAATGGCCGCCGCCAATGGCGTGTAGCTGGTGGAAGAGACAAAAGAGTAGTCAGACAAGCCGGGTCAACAACAACAGGACAAAACAGTACAGGACAGCAGACGAGAATCACAGGTAACGAGCCGGGTTCAGCAACAGAGGGTCAGATCAAAGGAGAATACAAAGAATAGTCAAGTCACAAGCCGAATCAGATACCAGGAGAGTCACGAGAGTCAGAACAGAGTAATAGCAACACAAAGACACAAGACACAAGTGCAAAGAGCATGTGCGGGCCACAGGCTTATATGTCATCAGCCACACCCCTCTGGGGGATGGACCACAGAGACCTGAAGGCATAAAAGGATTCCCATCATGCACAGCAGAATCCAAGATGGACGCCAGCACATGGAGTAACATAACCTCAGGGAAAGGGTAGGACCTTGACATCAGGGAAGGAGATGGTCACGGCAATCCGGGTCAGGCTGGGTCGGCAACAAAGGCAATCTCTCAGGAACAACGAACAGGAACAGCAGGAGTAAGACCATACGGCAATTTGAGCACTGCAAAGGTCTGTTTAAATAGGGCGCCCTGCGCCGTCATTGGTGCCCAGCACGCACCCGTATGCGCGAGTGCGCATGCGCGGCCGCAACTGCCACCGTGGGTCCCAGGGCCCGCATGTTGCTGCGCCTAGGTAATTCGCACCTGCGCAGTCCTGTGTGCCGCAGCGGAACCCGGGATTCCTGACACCTTCAGCTTTTTAATGATTAGGATTCTGTTGGATCCCTGCCTGCTATACCTACTACTTGACCCCAGTTTGCTCACCTGGTGGGGTGATCCTGAGGAATGCTACCTCGTACTGACATGCAGCAGAACCCATCTCCCCCATCAGGAGCTCTGATGAATATCAGTTAGTGCTTAGAGTCTGTGCTTTGATGATGAGAACTCATCGTCCACCAGGTTGCCTTGCTTGTGTACTTATTCTGCTGGTTGGTGGGAGACTTTCTACTGCTATAGGTACTGGCCTTCAAGCCTGACTTCTGACCGTGACACTCCTGTTCTCATGAAAGGTACATTGAAAGTGTCCATTAGTGCAAAATGGCAATGTCTCTGCAAAGACATCCCCCAACCTGCTTACATTCATCTTACCAGTGCTGCCCTACTGTTCCTTCTTCTTACCCTGCCAGCTACAATACCTGCTTCATCCAGGAGTGGAAGACCATGTGCCCTACTGGCAGTGCTCGGGTCTTTCAACCAATTGTAAAGCCAGAATGCTGTCATATGTCTGAGGAACTGATGTTACCACTGCCAGCAACACTCATTTAAGTGACTTTATCTTTGGGAATCTAAACCTTCCTATTACAGGTTGAAGGATTCTTTAAAGGATTCAGTACATGGGTAATTACCCCAAGAGTGACTTGTTTTCCTGTACCTTAGTGATTCCATCTAAGAACACCAAAGCACATATAGACCAAACATCCTAAATATACTCTTATACGATACAACTACAATATAATAACAGGTAAATAATAAAGGGACAAAAATAATAAGGCTAAACACATTTGCAATTTACTTTCTTCAAATCATGCTTGACTAAATGTCATTTATTTCAATTTGTAAGGTTAAAAAGTTGTCAGCAGTCCCCAATCTTAGTTTTATGCTCCGGAGGTTTACTTTCCCATGGAAATGTTTCTCTCTTGAAATAACCGTATTTGTTATTCATTGAGTGTACACTCCAATATGATGCCATTTTCGCTATCTAATGTTATTATACGGGCTTTTGGAGGTCATATCTAATAAATATGACCATCTGCGATACAAAAAAATGACAGCAGTGCTTGGTGTTTGCACCCTAATCCACTTGGGATGCATTATGTATGAAATGTTTACATGTTCTGGATCATCAGGAAAATAGCCATTTTAATTGTTTTTAAATGGCATACTGTATGTAGCTTAGGATGTATTGTGAACATTATTGTTCTGGTGTCATTGTCATTATCTTGGAAGGTTTTCTGCATGGCTGTTCTACAATTTTTGACTGCTAGCTGTAACTGTCTACAAGCCTTGTGTACTTGTCTATAGATTTACAGTCATCTTCATGTGGAGGTATCACTACTCTTTGGGTTTCCCAACCCAACTTCCCAAGGAGTTGCATTTCAGTTGTATTTTGATTTCTGCTTGTGATCCTGTTGGGGTTTTTTTTTTTTTTCCTGTCCTGGTGATGGTCGTAGGAAGAAATGGGGGAATTGGCTGTCACCAGGCCAGGAAGGCACGGCCAACAATAAAAACATTGTCAAAAGTAGATGTTCGGTTCGTTTATTACGAATCAACAAAAGAGAAACAAAACTCTTTTTGAAACAAAATAGAATAGCCAGCTAAGACAAGCGGCTGCTCCTCCCACGAAGAAGAAATTTCATTGTAATTTGCTTTGCAATGACAATAAAGTATTCATCATCATCATCAAAATTCTGAAGAAACTTTCATTATTTGGAGATTTGGATATATTTGAATCTCAGAATCATAATAGTAATGAATTTCAACTAATCCAAAATAAATTATCGTGAAAACAACAAATTCATTTGTATTCATTGGTTTCATTTGGATGACATGATGCAATAGTTTGGACCTTTTGTTAATGTTTGAAGCATCCAAAATAATGTAACAACATAATGAATGATCTGAATTGATTCGATCCATTCGATTGTATTCTAGTGAGTGTAGCGTGAATATTCTAATAAGATTCTTTTTGTATTGGGGTCGAACTTGAAAGACGATTCGTTTAATTTGTATGTGCATGACCCAACAAACAGTCAGTTGGAAAGGACAAATTAATGCAACATATCATAACGAATGTATCTGTATTAATTATTACAATGTAAATAGCCAGTCTTCCGAAATAATAAAAGAACTTGTGAAATTATGAATCGATTTGGAACAACGAATATATACTGAAATAACAAATCATTCCAAATACAAATCATTCTAACATAAAGATTATGATGAAACAAAATGATTTACTTAATGAATGAAACTAAAACAATACAACTTTTTACATCGTGCACATCTTTAGTCACAAGCTCTAACTCATCTCAGTCTACTTAAAATGCATTTATGTTTTTGTCTTTGACCCCATTACGAACACATTCCCATTAGTTTCCATTCTAACAGGAAGTGAGGGGACATCTCCCCAATAGGGACACCAATGGCAATGGATGTATTCAAAATAAAATAAAAAAGTTATGAGCCTTAAAGTTGGGCTTTAAAGTAGTTGTAAACCTCAGACATGACATATGAACAAAGCATATCATTATATAGTGTATGCTTGTCTCAATCCAGAGCACTAAGTGTCATTTCTGTCTGCTGCCTTGTTCCTCTGCTATAAGCATGAGTCACTTCTGATAAGTTTTCCTGACACCAAGAGAAAAAATGGTGACGGGGAGGGCACAGTCTGTGATTGACAGCCTCAGCTCTATTCCTATGTGCTGTGTGAAGTAGGATGTGCCCCTTCCCTCCAATCAGCTCTCAGAGCTCTACTCACTGATGTCATTTCAGCTCCCGCTCCCTGCTTTTCAGAGCTGAGAAATCCTGTGTAAATTCTACACTTTGAATGGATGTAGGGGACAGATGGCTCTAGATAAACATGTACAACCTATGTAGGAGGATTTGTTTAATCTCTGTGCATCACCTGGAATACACCTACGGGTCCTTACAGAATTGAGCTCTGTCATTCCAAAGCCATTGTTTCTAATTTTTAGGGACTCTTTAATGACTGGCATAGTACCACTGGATTGGCATAAGGCCAATGTGGTGCTAATATTTAAAAAGGGGTCAAAATCTTTACCAAGTAATTATAGACCTGTTATTTTAACATCTATAGTTGGAAAGACATGGGACAGTTTAATAAAAGACCTCATAGATGAGTTCTTGCTGGAAAAAAATATTTTAAGCAACAGACAGCATGGATTAATGAAAGACAGAAGTTGTCAAACAAATCTGATTTCTTTTTATGAGGGGGTGAGCAAAACCTTGGACACAGGGGTGGCGGTGGATGTGGTATACTTGGATTTTGCAAAAGTGTTTGACACAGTTCCCCACACACAGCTAATGTGTAAGGTAAAGTCTACGGGCTTGGAAAAATCTGTATGTAAATGGATAGAAAACTGGCTAAAAGATGGTATTCAGAGAGTAGTGGTTAATGATTCATATTCTGAATGGTCTAGGGTTGTCAGTGGTGTACCCCAGGGTTCAGTGTTGGTACCCTTACTTTTTAATATATTTATAAACAATAAAGGGTCTGAGATTAAAAATCCCATTTCAGTCTTTGCAGATAACACCAAGCTGTGCAGTGCAAAAGAAATTTAATCTCCAAACACGGAAAGGTTTCTTCACAGTAGGAGCTGTGAAAATGTGGAATAGACTCCCTCAAGAGTTGGTTCTGGCCAGCTCAGTGGATTTCTTCAAAAAAGGCCTGGATTATTTCTTAGATACACAGAATATAACTGGATACTAACATTTATAGGTAAAGTTGATCCAGGAAATATCCGATTGCCTCTTGGGGGATCAGGAAGGAATTTTTTTCCCAGCGGAAGCAAATTGGATCATGCTTTTGCTGGGGGTTTTTTTGCCTTCCTCTGGATCAACTGTGGGTATAGGATTATAACTTTTTTCTTTTTTCTATGGTTGAACTGGATGGACTTTTGTCTTTTTTCAGCCAGACTGACTATGTACTGTAACTATGTAACTTGAGGCCAGTCATCTTACTAGGTATGGGTAAGGGTTTACAACCACTTTAAGTTATTAAAGTGTATCTCTAGACAAAACTTTTTTTTTTCTTTAGGATATAGTAGAGAAGAATTGGACATTCTGTCAAGGTTTCATTGCTCTCTGTGTATCCATAGGAGAAAATGACCCCTTTATTTGTACTAGTGACCGTTGACACAAAGACAGAAAGGGAAGGCAATCCTAAAATTATAGAGGTGTCCCCTGAACAAGAGGTAAGAAAAAATCTTGTGATGGGGACCCTGTTCCAGGGTCAACTGTCTAACAGGGGGAAGCCCCTCACTTTGGGAAGTTTCCTCTAACCTCCTGTTGTATCTCTGCAGCAGGAAGTAAAGGTAGATAATGCACATGTAATTCACAGGTCAGTTCATATGTTTGACCTCTGCTACCCAGGGCCGGACCTAGCCTATCTGATCTGGGGGTGCAGTAAAAAAAGTCAGGGGGCATAATATCAACACTGTGTGAGTCACTGACAGTCTTTCACACGGTGTCACAACTTGGGAAACACTAGTGTGTAGTAAGGCTGTTTTAGATTAGGGTGATTATAAAGGACCGGTACCCCCTTATATCAGATGACCCTCTCAGACTCCCCCTTTACATCAGGAGTCCTGATCAGAATTCCCCTTTATAGCAGGAGTCCTAATCAGAATGCCTCCATTAGAGTGTCCCCTTACATCACGTGTCTCCATCAGAGTGCCCCCTTACATCAGGTGTCCCCATTAGAGTGCCCCCTTACATCACGTGTCTCCATCAGAGTGCCCTCTTATATCAGTGTCTCCATTGAGATCCCCCCCCCTTACATCACAGTCTCCATCAAAGTCCATCTTAGGAGTCCCTCTTCACATCTGGGTCAACATCTGAGCCCACCTTACATCCAGTTCCCCATCAAAGCCCCCTTTTCTTCCAGGTCCCCATCAGAGTTCCCACTTTACATCAGGTTCCCATCAGAGTCCCTGTTACATCATAAT